CATGTACACAGGTGTGGCAGCAATTGCTTAATTCTGCTTTTCAAAACAAAGAACATCCTCACAGGCACAGACATGCAGGTGTGGAGGTGGGGTAGAGGAGGTGGAGAAGGAAGAGAAAGAGAACAGGGGAGAAGGGAGGCAGAAGCTCAAATCCATTAATCATTAATTCTCCAGATTATTTTCTCAATCTTCTAGTATGTTGGAAATCAAAAGATAAGAACTTTATAAACTAGTTTCTGAGTTTCCGGGGTGGTTCAAGTTAATGGTTTTATTTTCATCTTTAACACTAGCCAGAGTCCAAAACAGGCTGATGTCCACTGATACAGTTTAAATGTTACAAAGAAAGAATTGAACTGTTTACACTGAGGAAAGGAAAGAGATTTTCTTCACACAGACCTTTCTTAGTTTGCAGTTTCTGATTAGTAGAAACAAAATACATTTTTGCCAAATCAGTCTAGGATGAATACAATTTTATAATCAACAATGTTCGCTGTATTTATGGATGAAACAAAGTTTTAAATAGGCGTCACCATGTTTACGGGTTGATGGCTGCATAGTCACCTGGCCCTCCTGTCTGGGCACCATCAGAATGGAGCAAGAGCATCTCCATGAAGCCCAGAGGGGACTTAGTGGCTGCGATGACCAAGCAGAGAGTTGGCCCTAATATCACAATGATGGTGGCTGATGTTCCTACACTCTCCCACTTCACGGAGAAAATTATTACTCATTCAAACAAACTGTCAGTAAGCCAAACACCTTTTTCAAAAAGTCAGAATGAAAAATAAAACATTTTCTTTTCACATAGAAGAGGGATGCTCCTTGAGCCTCAATTAAAGTGAATCCTGTGCTGAGTCCCTGCTCCTTCAGAAGGAGGAACCAAAGGTCGGCTATTGCTAGCAAAGCCGAAGTGGCTCCTTTCCCACCATGAAGATGCTTCATACAAACAGCCCCTGGCTTGGTTTGAAGCCCTCTGAGGAAAACATGGAGGAGAGGCACACTGGCCCTACAAGCCCCTCCTGGTACTCTTGCCGCTGGCTTGTGTCACTCTCCTGCTCCCGAGGGGCCCTAAGGTTCTGGACACCTGTGGGTTGGGCAGAAGATATTAGCTGGGCTGTTCAGGAAGGGACGGCCACCATGCTTTGCCAACCAGAACCTACGGAGCAGTAGCAGGGCAGCTTTGGAAAGAAGTATCACCTGATCGGAGAATGTGAACCAGTGCCAGGTCAGGTGGGCCAATATCTCTGAAACGGAGAAGGTGATCTGCGCAGAGACATGGAAGTGAGACGTTACATTGCTGCTGCCACCTCCTACTGCTACTGAGGCAGACATCAGGCAGTGGGAAGTAAGGACTGGAGGGATGGAAGGCACACTGCCAGGTGGCTTTCATTAGACAAGAGAGGACACTTAGGTGCACACCTGCCCTGGACCTGCTTGTTCTGCACCAAGTGAAGAACTTTGGAGCGTGGAAAAAGTCCCTGAGAATGGCTGGCATCCAGAGAATGGCAAGACACACACTGCTTCAGCAGTTCAAGTGCTACAGAAAGGTCACTGATGGTGCTGGCTCCTGACTGCTGAGACATGGGTAAGAGTGGGCGCTATTGCACTTTTCATTTTTAGGAAACATGGATTGCTCTACAGAGGTCCTCATGGTTTGAAGAGAACACTGCATATCAATGGTAAGGTGCAGGCAGAATCACAGGTCACCTCTGGCTCTCAAGGGAAGGATAGTCCGGGGGCAACTCCTGCATTGGGATCCTTGGGCCAACTGGGTTGTGTCTAGCTTGGCCCGTGGGTGACAGGCAGACTGGTCAACTGTAGATGTCAGGAAAGACCATGTTCCTGGAAGAGCTGGTGAGCCTTCCAGTAGGGAAATTCCAGGTACCAGAAAGGCTAGAGCCTCAATCCCCAGCTCCCATGTGCCTGACTCCCCTTCTCTTACTTTGAGACTGGGATGCCCCAGGGGCTCAGAGGTGAATAGCTGGCCTGGGAGTGCTTGTAGGTATAGCTCCAGAGCATCAAACTCAAGATAATAAAAGGGTCTAACTAGGGGTGGGAACGGAAAGAGAAGTTTACATATCGGATGGTGCTATTGAAATAGTCTTGTTGAGCTCAGGAAATGAGGCAGATAGCATGCAGAAAGCCCAGCCAGGCTGTCTGTCCATTCACCCTTTTCTTCTGAGAGGCTCAGAACATTTCACATATAAATAGGGTGGTACCATGTGGGTTTGATCTCCCTATAAACTGGGCAAGTGTTAGCATTCTTCAGGGAGTCTTGAAGGCATTGGCTACAGAGGATATGGCCATACTCTGTAGAGACAATGAAATCCGTTCTGCACAGTCTCCAAATATCCATCCATGCAGATGGGAAGGTGGTGATACTGGAGGGCCTTAGTTTCATGGATTCCCTTGTTCTTGGCATTTCTAGGAGTGTGAGTGGTCACATACACACCCCTCTGGAGGTTTGCAGCAAAGTTGAATGCTCTCAGCCTCTCATACCCACTGGTTACTCATCCTCCAGCTTACAAAGAATTTGCACCCAGGCAGATTTCCAGTATCTTGAAGTCCTCATCCAGCAGGCACCAACTCTCTGGAGCCCAGAAATACCTATGTGAGCTACCAAGGAGACCGGCTCAAGCGAGACTCTACTGTCTCAAAGCAATTCTCTTTTGCTCTTCAAGCATCTTCCCTGCCCCTCACCAGTTTATGGTTTAAATCTAGAGCTAAGTTTTACCACACAAAGAAATGAAGAAAACTCAACAGTTGCAAATGAAATGTGAGCCTACTGAAGAAATCCATAGAGAAATATGATTAACCAAATGACCAGTCTCCAATTTGCCTCTGGCCAACTGTCTCTCTTCTAGTTCATAGGGAGTCAGTCTAGTTAACTGAATTGATTTGCTTTTCACCCTTGCTTCACCTCACTTCCCCATTCCCAAATCTCCCTATACTTAAATGTGCTATCAAAACAACGGGCTCTTGGCAAGTATCCTTAACTATCAGAAGACAAAACTGGTGTCACAACAATTCTGTAATTGCCAGCTACAACAGTAGGACAACTAAAGGACAGTGCAACTTCAACGGATACTATTTTTAATTTTGATTAAAAATCCTTGTGAACATGATGTCTAATGTGTACTATAAACTTCCTCCTTTGTCCCTATTTCATATACTTTCCCATTTCTCCATCTCCTGTACTTCTATTTCTTCCTGTCACCACTTTCAAACATATTAAAATGCCTTGCCTAGTTTCTAGAGCCATAGTGAAAGTTGCTATATAAATCTCAGAAAAAGACTGGTGGTTACAAAATGAAAAGGTGTCTCTAATTTCCCAAACTGCATGGTTACATACAATAATTTACATTCTCTTCCCTTAATTCTTCATTATACTTTACAATAATACCATGGCACTGGAACATTATCATTTTATGCAGGAGGAAAAATTATTAGTGTGCTCTAAGAAGAGAGGCTCTGGCAACACATACAGAAGAAGGTTGCTTAACAGCATTATGTTAAAGAATAGTTAATCTATGAGATCACAGAATAAGACACTAGGAACATTAGGGTTCTCTCGAAGAAAAAGAAGAAATGCCTTTTCCTCAGTCATCAAGACATAATTTCTTTACAAAAGACTTTCTGGTGGTTAATAGAGAGCTGGGCCTTCTGGCACCAGCCAAGATAGAATAAGCCCAGTTTAGCCCCTCTCTCCCAACTACAACTAAAGTCTCTTAACAAAATACAAAAGCAACCACATCTGGACAAAATACCATAGCAGGAGAATTGGAAAATAAAGGTAAAACTTAAGGACCAGTGAGGCTACAAAACCATGAAGTCTAATGGCAAAAGGACATCCTTAAATCATTACAAGAACAGTTAACTCAGACTTCTATACACCACAAAAATAGCCTTCAGAACAAATGCAAAATACAGTCACCTTCAAGTAAAATACAGAGATCATACTCCTATTTACACAAGTAAAGTGACTTTAAAATCTACATTTATACAAAAACCTATACATGACTGCTTAGCTTATAACTGCATTCATAATTGACCCTAATTGAACACAAATCAAATGTTCCTGAGGAATAGATTAACTACAGTACATCCACCATATACTGGGACACCATTCAGCAATAAAAGAGAACAAATTACTGATACATATACCATCATGCCTGAATCACAAATGCATTATGCTAAGTGAAAGAAGCAGGAATCAAAAGACTAAAACAGTTCATGATTCCATTTATACGGCATCTGGAAAATGCAAAACTATAGGGATGGAGAACAGAACAGTGACTGCTAGGGATTACAGGTAGGGGAAGGGCATCACTGCATGGGTAGCTTCAAAGGAATTATCATTATCATCATTATTCTTATAACTTATAAATGTAGTGGTAATAATGTGCATTTATGCATTTGCAAGAACTGCAACCAGATATGTATATTTTACTACTGACTTCATATATTTAAAAAAGCAAATTTAAAAATGGAGAACTTGAAACCTTGACACATTTTTCCTAAGAAAAATTCAATTGACAATATAATTAGCTCATTGCCCATATTTACATATTCACGAGTAACAATCAATTTACTTAAAACCTTTGTTATAAAACATTATTTGAAAATAAAGCCTATTTGGTCTTCACATATTTAGGGGAAGTCCAGAAATCTTCAGAATAGAACACTACCATTCATGCCATCAGTGTATAAATTTTGATATACAAACTTTTCTGATTCCATACTGTATATTGGGCTATATGGTCACAATATTTATCTTTACCTAATATTTAAAATAAATAGATACTGTCATAAATGTTACTATACACACATTCACACGCAGAAATATTCATATTAATGAGAAAATTAAATCATGCAGTTAAAGCACAAGCTCACCCTTGATTCTTATAACACTAACCCAACAAGTATTTTGAATGTCTGCCATATTAATTTACAATCTATGGGGGCTGGCAGAGTAAAATGTTAAAGATCAAGTTTTAACGTACCCGGTCAAAGAGTGCAAAAAGTTGTCTCAAGACATCTGAAACGGGTAACTTTAAATACTCTGCGAATTCTTCAATTCCGATTCTTCCTCCCTTTGAGGAACTCGCAATAGATGCATATTCATCCAAATGTTTACGGATACCATCCCAGTCTAATCTAAATGAAGAATTACACATAAATATCATCCATATGCCTTTCAATGCATATAAACATCTTGTGAACCCTGATCACTAATTTGTTTGAAGAAAAAAATATGTGCTAGATTTGAAAAGGAGAATAAAGTGGGTAGTTCAAAGGACCTATGGAACACGTATGCAAAGCATTTCGTTTTTAACGGCAGATCAGTACAACTAATAAATATTCCAAATATCTGATGGAAAACAGAAGTAAACAGGAAGAGCAATGTAGTCGAATAATGAATGAATTATGAGAAAAAAAAATGAGAAAGCAAATTTCAACCTAAACACTACTAAGTCAACAATACTTATTTTACTAAGGTGTTAACAAAAGAAATTATAAATCATGTTTTCAAGGAACTCTCAGGCTGATACTGAATTCACGGTTCATGAAAGGTTGTGATTAGGGAGGCTCATTAGACCATATATACTTCCTCCATACTGGTTAGAAAAAATGAAGGTGATAACTGGAAAATACACCATAGTCTACATCAACATCCCATCATTGCCTTATAGAACTGAACAAGTGACCTAACACATTCATCTAACTTTCAATGACTTATTTCCACTTTTCAAATTTATGGAGATATTTTCCATATAATACCAAAATAAAAGCAAAACATTTTTATTATCTAAAGAAGTAAATGATTTTTATATCTATAGCAAAATATTATTATTTTATGTTATTTAATATTGAGTTTAATAATAATACCTGCTTCTGCAGCAACTTCCTAGGGAGGATGTTAAGGTCTATTAAATCAATAAGCTCTGCAAATTCCTAATTAGAGCTGAGAGTGGAATGAATTGTAGCAAGAGTGAGTTTGTAGTGTTATTTCCCATACAAGATAGCGCAGAGGGGATATTCAAAATGCTTTAAACTATATCATAGTGCACAAAGGTGAGTTTTTGACTTAAAAAAACAGATACCAAGAAAAAAAGGTTAATCTAGGTAAGTATTTAAAGATCAGTAATAGCCAGAATTGCTATTGTGCAAATTTTTTCACAAGTGGAAATGGTTAAGTTACCCTTCTCTTAAGAAGGCTCCAGGACTGGCCAACTACTCTGAACCATTTCCAAATAGGAAGGCGACCTATGTGGATCCACACTGACACCTACTTCTTGTTTTCATTCTGTGACTAATACACATCTCTGAGTTAACTATTTTTGAAAAAAATTTTAAAAACAAAATAACTGTGATGGGAGATAAATTCACAATCCTGGCTTTCCTTATAAATACCACCATAGTCCTAGAGCTGAGCAATAATAAAGCAAGATAAAATCAAAATAATATGATTTCAGATTCTTTTTGGAAAACTTTTATGAAAGTGCAATAATTTTAAAGTACACTTACTTCAATTTCTGGCTGATTTTAGTAAATTCCACCAACCCAGCTTCCATAGGCAACGTGAGCTGTCCTGCTGAGATCATCAGTCTGCAATCTTCATAGGTATGATCTGTTACCGGTAAATTAAAAAAAAAAAAAATATATATATATATATATATATATATAATGATTTTTCAGTAGGCCTGAGTTGATCAGAAAATAAGAGTAAATGGAAAGGTATTTAGTACTTTTTAGTTCAGTGACTGTGGCTTTCCTTGCCAAAGATATATTTTTCTAATTCTTCACAGACTTACAATGGCTCACGTAAAAGTCTTCATGCCTGTATGCTTCTGTCTATGTAGATGATAATTTTTGCTTCGTGTTTTAACAAGAACAATATAATAGTGAATGTGAAAAATATTCAAAAGACTTAGGTTCAAGTTCTAACTGTCTTTTACCAGATATGGGCCTTCTATTATTTGACTCTCAGCTTCATTTGTCTCATCAGTATATAGGAATAATTACTTTACTTCACAATGGTATTGTAAAGACAAAATAAGAATACCTGTCCAGGTACTGTTTAAACCAATAAGTGACATTTGTACATGCTGCAAGTGAAAAATCTATCCAAACCACTTTTTTTTTCATTTTTATAACTAGATTTTATAACTAGGTTACCTTCTTTCTACAGTCCTCTAAAAATACTGAAATAAGCTGAAACTAAGCTGATATTTCTTCCAAGCTGAACATCCTCTAGTCTCAAAGGAGACCATAACTCTGGCTTTCTACCTCATAACTTCTCAGAGTGAATGATATGAAACAGATTTATAAAAATATATGTATTAATAAGAACTTTAAAAAGTCAGTATCAAAAAGAAAGGGTGGGGTTTGGGGAAAAAAATGAGAACCAAGATCTGTCATGTAAAGGTACAAGATCCCCATGATGAATGTAACTGTACCATATACTTAAAATGTACCACTAAACTCAATAAGATAATAAAAAGAAAGGCTGCAAAATTATATGAAATAATTTCCTAAAGATTGTTCTTCACTAAATTTTTATTCACAAATATTCAGTGAAAATCACAAAATTGCATTTTTAGCCATATTTGATTTGGTTGGACCATTGTAAAGAATACTAAATGTTGAAAATGGATTTTCTGGCCCTGATTTGAATAATAAATATTTTAATATAAGAATATTTAAGATGAAAAATAAAAATATAAAATATTTCAGGAATTATAATGCTAAACCATAATAGTTAAGAGCTTGAGCTTTGGTAACAGGAAATGTGAATCTAAGTCCCAGCGCAGTTACTATTTGGCATAATTTTAAGCCAACTATTTTACTTCCCTGAGTCTAATCCCTTACCTCATAGAGTTGCTATGCAGGTAATGTTAGAAAACCCTAATAGACACCTACCACAGCATGTGTTACGTTATTTATTAGTAGTACTTTGTAGTTCCACCATTACCTTACATCTACTTTGCTCCTTATCATTTTCACATGCTTTCCTGGTTGAGTCTCATTAATAATAAATACCATGAGAGAAGCAAGGTAATAATTTTCATTTCCATTTCAGACATGAGGAGAAATTTTGAAGGGAACTTGTTCAGGTTTGTGCAATTAAACAAGTTTTTTTGTTTGTTTTTTTGTTTTACTCATTACACCTCTCCAAATTCAGAAAGGCTGCCTAACCAAATCCCTTCTCCTTTTTTAGGTACCTTTTGGAAAACCAAAATATCTGATATAAATTCTCCCAGTTCCTAATACTTACCTTAGTTCCTAACTTTTGAACATAGGCTGGGATGAAAACAGGAAAGAAAAGGAAGAAAATAACCTAAAAGCAAATTTTGTAGCTGACCTAGACACTAGATAAAGCAAGCACACTTAGTAATAAAAATCTTTTTGGCAAAATGTTCACTCTTTTCAAAAAAGATTTATTCTACTATGAAATATTAAAATATATGTGTGTATATATATATGTCAAATTATATATATTTATATATCCCAAATTTGGCTACAAGACCAAATTCAGCTCTGAAGCTAAATTCAGAAGTCCTGTTGAATTTTTACTACAGAAAAAAATTACTGCTGGCCTATTAGCTCCAAACCTACAGGGAAGGACTGACTGAGGGAGGTGTACCTGGGGAGAGGGTACACATCTGGAGGGCCCTGAGGCTGCTTGGGTGGTGGTAATGGTATAACACTTTCTTTCATTACAAGACAAGGGGTGATTTATCTAATCACAACACTAGCCAGTTAAAACTGCCTTAAGAGCAGGAAAGCACCTTCTGTTTTACAGTTTCTAAATCTTAAATTTATAGCCATTCGTTCCTAAGAGTAACTTTTTCCCTTTTCTGTGCATCTTTTCCCTTTGCAAACTTTCTTCATGTTAGTGCTATAATTCTTAATGCCTTTGAAACACTCCCTTGGGCAGGTGGATGGAGCTGAAGGAACAGAAGGCCGGCCTAGGAAGGAACTGCTGAGACCAGCACAGGCTTTGTCTGATAGTGAGTGACCAGCCAGCCAGGAGGCTTGCACCTCTGGAAGGCACTGCTCGATCTCTTCTGATTATTGTACCTGCCTCATCCGTCTGATAAAGATGCATTTCCATTACTTTGAGGCTGCAGCTGGAGAAATAGTTATAGAACATGTTACCAACTGTGTTCCTGGGCACATTACTTTACTTATCAAAATGAGTTGGGAAATGAGGCCCTCGTGGGAGGAAAAAAAAAAATGCCTTAAAGCTATGTTAAGTGACATTCACTTATAATTTTCGAAGTATTTACTGGTCATAAGCTCATACAGACACTTACTCTGCCATTAAATTCCGGACTCTACTGGCAAAAAGAACAGGATCCTTTTTTTCTTCATCACTTGGTACCTGAACAGGCATAAACTGAAAGACAAACATATATTTCCGTAACAATCTTTAGTCCTAAGACAGTAAATGCTAAAAAAAATTAGAACCTATCAATATATTTAATCCCTTACCTTTCTAGAGCATAGTTTGCATGATGCTTGGACTAAGCAAATTCATATCCAAGTCCTGGGTCTGCCTGTATACTGACTTTGATGAACTCCCTCCTCAACTCTAAAACGAGGGCTACGATCACCTACTGCCCTGGTTGTTCTGAGGGTAAAATAGCCAATGTCTGGAATTCTGGAAGTTTATGGATCTGTAGTTATTGATATACTCTCGGAGTTGCATTTTCTCAATTCTCACTCCTTTATGTAAAGGGTTTCTACTTTCTTTTCCTGTTTATTTTTATTTCTAATAGTTCTATCTCCTCCATCCACTTCAACAGCAACATATTTTTATGAACTGATTGAACTTTGTTATTTTTCCACTTTAAAAAATTATAGCACTGGCTTTCTAGATTTTTGCTTAACACCACATTTTGTTTTATCATTTTTTTCTAATTTTACTTTTTTCTCCACCTGCTATTCTGTGGTGCCTCATTTGTAGTCTCCTTGTTTGGACTGATGGTTTTCTAACATTGACAAGCTTTTGCTGCCATATTTAAGTCCTTACATATATTGGGGACACCTACAATATTTCAGTCAAGATTAATTACCCCCACTCAAAAGAAGATCCACATTTTAGTAGGACAGACAACACATCGATAACCCTATGCTGAGTATCATTACCCCTATGACCTCAACTAGAGATGGGACCAAGAAGCCTCATTAATTGACCCAATGTCATACAAGCTACATGGTCTGGGTTTAGCCCAAGATTTTTCAGACCTTATTTTCTCTAATAACCATCCTAGAGTATGAGAGCAGGAATAGGTAATGATTAATTGTGCCAGGGCCAGAAAAATGCAGCCAAAACTGCAAATGGTTCCTGGGGAGAGGGTATAGAAAAGAGCTAATTGTGTAGAGAGTTCCCTATAGAAGAGCCAACACGTTATCATGAATTTTTAAGGTTCAAAATGATTTTTGCCATCAGTTGGTTACCATATATTGAATTATAAGTGGTACCTCAGTTCACAAACTTGATTATTTCCACCAACCTGGTCATAAATAGAACTGGTTGCAAACCAAATAAAATTCAATGGCTATGGACAATATTGGCCTCACAGAGAAGTTTGATTTGGTTGCAATTAATTTGGTTTGTGTTCAGAATTGTGGAAAGAATTAAGTTCGTGAAACCAAGGTGCCACTGTAACTATAAACAGGCAACATGCTAAGTGTCTCTTATATGTATTATTTCATTTAATTATTAATTTTATAACAAAAAATAGAGCTTACAATTATTAAAATACTTGCTTAAGATATCATGTCTCAATTACATTCAGTAAATATTGCTTAAGCACCTATTTCATGCTAGGCATTGTACTTATTCATGAAACGTGGTAGTGAAGTCCTGCTCCCCAGAATCTCTCCATACACTACAGTAGAAATTTATGATGCAATGAACTAAGCAACCAAGAAGTGCTACCATCTATCAAACATCTACTATGTGCTAGGTTCTTTATATTCAGTCTTTATATGATTGGCTCTTGCAGCAATTTTAGCAAAGTTCTACCATTCCCATCTCAGAGGTGAAGAATGGGGCTTGAAGAAATTAAACCATATAGCCAAGGTCATCCATATACATAAATGGCAGGGCAATGCTTTGAAAGAAAAAGATTTGTATAAAGAAATGCCACTTTTTTCCAAATGGACCTATTTTGAAATCTTGTTAATCACATCAGGAAGCCTATGGCACCAGTGACTCATAGGTGAAGTTTAAGCACAGGAGGGACAAGACCAGGTCCCAGTTTTTGCGAAGTGACTTCAGTGGTAGGGAGTGAATGAACCAAAGTAAAAGAGTCTAACAGCAGCACCCCTGGATGGTCTCATGAGAAACCTGAGACCTGGTATAGAGGGTGTGAGGGTGGCCAGAAAGAGGATAGCTGGCATGCAAGAGAATTGTTTAACATTAAATATTTAGGACAGAGAATAACAACATTGATTTTGCTAACTCACTCTCTAAGGGAGCACTGATATGCTACAGAAAGAGTAGTTGGTCTTGGTTTTGCTCAGTGATCCTAGAAAAGATGTCTAACCTTTACAGGCCTCGGGTCCTTCTCCTGTCAAATGATAAACTCTCCTTAGATGATCTCTAACCTCCTTTCCAATTGGACTCATATATGTAGCTCTGCTGAGCTCTCAGCTGAGCTCTTTTTCAAGGTGGAAAAATAAACTAAACCACCAGAGGTCCCCACATCACTTAAATACCCAGAGCAACAAATTACAAATATATATTGATAAATAACAATTCCTTCCAACTTGATCTAGTAACATTTTCTATATATGTTTAATATTAAATTTCAAGGAAGAAAACAGGTTAAAATCAATGTTAGTAAAATATCTGACAAAATAGTATAAGAAAGTTAAATTGTAATTTACCAAATCATTCTGCATATTTAAGACAAATGACCACTTACATTATACTTGATTTACACGGGTCATAAAAGCACATACACATGAAAATCCTGAAAAATAAATCACTGCTGTGCTGTTAACCAAACATAATACAGTGAATTATGGGTTTAGTGTCTAGTAGTGCAAGTAATATTTTCCATTAAATACTTTTTAATGACTTTCTTATTTGCATGACATTTTATTCTTGAAGAAATAAGTTCCACTGAGAGTACAAAATAATTAGCCTGGATGTGACACTGTTCGCCTTGGAGGACCTGTACCTTCTAGGAAGAATTCCTAGAAATCCTAATAAAAAATCACCTCTCCTAGGGTAAGACCTGGCCCTCTACTGCATTTCCATTTTGTACAAGGCTCACACTGTAGTATGAACACACCCTCTATTTGGAAGGCAGCTATGTAAACCACTATGCTACCAACGCCTCTTCATACCCTTTATTTGGGAAGGAAGATGAACCACATAGAGAGGAACCTGACTACCATTATCTCTCATGGCTCCTCACACGCATTTAAATCCCCAAGGACTTTGGGACCCAGTTTCCTCTTCCACCTCCACCTTCTCTCATCCTCGGTACTGTGGCGACATGGGTCCATGTGACACCTAGACTTCACTTAGTCACAGATATTTTTCTGAACTCTACTTCAGCCACAGGAACAAACACTATGACCCTAGTTTTTTCCTCTGACAAGTTCCTCCATCACTTTCTCCTCGTTACCCATGAGTGTTTACTTCTCCCCCAACTGGTCTTGCAGAGACTGTGGCAACCTAGCGGTCACATCAGGGCCTACTCATCCCTCTTTCTCCTTCCTCTCTGGCATCATCTGCCTGCTTATCTACTGTGGACCCGGGAATCAGGCATTTCAGTATAGCTTTTCTGTCATGTTGAATCTCTCATTTCCCAGTGCCTATCACAAATCTTCTCAGTCACTTCCGATCCTGCATTTTCACTCCTGACAGTCACTAGTGAGGGAGACTCAACAAAATTAAACATGCTCCATGCTTTTCAGGTTACAATTCCCCTTTTACCTCATATTCTGGTCACATTTTCAGACAGAAAACAACCTAGGAAATTCTACTTCCTTTGACACTGCACTGGAGACTGGATCCATAGTTGTATTCCCCAGCCTACTTTAAATGTTCTCCACACCTTCACACACTTTACTCTGCCCCACCCTGCACCAGGTGGGCAGGACAAGCTGACAAGGCTTCCAGACTAACAGCGCTTGTTTGTGCTTTTTGTTTCAGAGTCTCCCACCTGTTCTTGGGCTTAAACTAAACTGCACAGAAGATAAAGTCAAAATTCCTCAGAAAGCTGTCCATTAACTAGAGCCAGCCCTCTACATCAATGATCAGTAAAACTAGTCTATTCATTGTTTCTCAACCACATCAAGCACATTCTTTTTTACTGAATAAGCAAGGAGTAGGAAAAGAAAGCTCAACAAGTGACAACACTAGGCCCACTCTTCTTTTTTTCTTGTAATAGAAAAGAATTTTAAAAGTTCAATCTCAAAGAAGGTGCAATTCTATTTCTTCCCATGTTTCTTCTTTTAAATCTTCAAAGAAAGAAAATGCAAAAGCAGAGAAACTTCCAGATGGGAAGGGAAATAAAAGTTAATGCTGAACACTTACCCCATGTCAGCATGTAAGTAATCTTATTAAATCCTCACAACGCTATATGATAGGTTCCCAGTGAGAACACAGGCTTAGAGAGGTTTAAGTAATTTTCTCAAGCACAAACAGGTATGTAGTAAAACTGGAACAAAAACTCCAGTTAATACTCTTTATAACATACCATTTTTCTACCATTACTTATAAAATTCCAGAACTTTACCAAGTTCCACAACAAATTAGCTTTGTAAGAACAAATACATTTGTGGGGTGTGTACGTGCACTCGAGATGGAAATTTTCTAAAAGGCTTGTTCAAGCATGTCTAACCTATAGCCTGTAGGCCACATGTAGTCCTAGACAGCTAATAACACAGGTCCACAAGATTATAAGATTTTAACATTATTGTGTGGTGGATTTGGGGGCGGGGGAGGTATCTGAGGAATGAATTCTGGGCCTTCACACTGAGCTATATTCCAGCACTTTTTAAGTTTTTTGAGACAGGGTCTCCTTAGGTCATAAAATTGCCAGGCTAGGCTTGCACTTGCCATCCTCCTCGACCAGAACTATAGGCATGCACCATGATTCATATGGATATTTTTCATGACTCATTTGTGCAGTGTACAAATGTTGACCATGTAAGCAACAATGGAATGGTGTTTAGGATGGCTCAGGCAGAGCTAACTCTGGCTTCTGAAGCTGCCAAACAGTCATTTAAATGAAAACCCAAGTATGTCGGACGTTACATGCATTTGTGTGACTTGGCAAGTAAAACACAGCTATTATTAACAATAGCATTTCAGCCTATCGGTGTGTGCCTGCCTGTGAAGTCAAGTGTTTATTGTTACTGAACAAGACACTTTCTTTTCCCTCCATGTGGCCCAGGCAAAACAAGATGGTTGGATGCCTAGTGCCATTCATACTAAGTGCTCTATACAGGGTGCACCATTTTTTTTAAAGCTTTACTGTTGTGTATTTACCATACCTTTCCTGTATTCAGATACACGAATACCACTATGTTACAACTGTAGGCAGAATAAAGTAACCTGCTAAAATGACTGTGTACCTTGGAGCGATAAGCTAAGCCACATAGCCTCAGTGTGCAGCAGACTTAAACAGAACTGGTCTCTGTAAGTTCAAATAATGATGAAAACACTTAACATTGCATTTCTCAGGATGAACTCTTGTTGTTCAGTGACACATAACTATGTTTGAACTTTCCCCAAGTAATTGGCTCTTTGAAGACTTAAAAAATAATACATGTGTATAGTTGTTGATGGTAACACTCATTATTAGTTACAATGATCATAACAATCATTGTTAGTTAAATCAGATATTCTTTTCAAATTAAGAAATTCCTTTCTGTTAAGGCTATGTTGCCCATCAGGATTTAGGCCTCATGACAGCCACTACAAGCTCTGTGAAAGAAATTTATAAGTTAAAATATGTCTATATGCCTATAGATTAATCATTTGAAAGTCTCTTAAATATACTGGGCAGCTTCTTAAGTCAACCTGCTTTGAAGGCACCCTGAGACATGTCAGATACATCCATTTTGAGGTCATGTTCTATTCATAAACTAACTGCTGTCCACATGGTACTACACAGTCTGACTTAGCATGAGCATTCTCTCATCCAGTCATCCAGCAAGCTCTTAATTTATGTCTCACTTTGCAGTGTTTCTTACCAGCTATCATGTTTCCTGTGCCTATAAGCCACATACTTCTAAAGGCAAACTTGAAAAGTAGTTGGACGATACAAGTGATCACTAAAAGACACTTAAGTGCATCCATTATGCAATGTCATGTTTCAAAAGAATAATTTTTGGTAGGGCCATTCTGTAAGTTACACACATCTTTATCATTTTTTTTTTTCAGTACCAGGGATAGAACTCAGGACCTTGTGCTTCCAAGGCAGGCACTGTGCTGTACCACTGAGCTAAATCCCTGGCCCCCACATCTTTATCATTGTTCAAAGGTGCCAGAGACCATTTCCTCATGAGATTTGGAACTTACAGTTTTAAAATCCAAGAAACAAGAAATTTTAACATTTTTCCCCCAAAATAATCTTCATATTAGAGAAGTGGAGAGGGATAGGGAAATGGAGGAAAGAAAATATGCCTAATATATTAAGTAGATTGTCAGTATCCAAGTTTTTAGTAATTAAAGAGTTTAGTAATCATCATTCCTAAAGGGAAATTTGTGAAAGCAAATGACATAGCAGTCAATATACCGAGCTGTCCTGTGGCTCACAGTAGAGTACGTGAAAGGGCACTTTAATAATCCATTGAAAGTCCACCTTTAAAATGATCAAAATAATAACATTCTTGAATAACCATACTGAATTTCCTAATATTCAAGAAGTTCTGAAAACATGTTTGAAATAGTAACCGGGATTTCCAGCAACTTTCAAATAAAACAAAAGAGCAAGGAAGACACCTGAAAATGGAGTTACAAAATGAACTAAGACATCTAATAGAGTTCCATGTGGGATAGCTCAAGCTCTGCCTCAGCAGAAATGTGGGAAAGCTTCAGTAGAGCCCAGCTTTTCAGAGCCTCAAGCCTGGATATGGATATATTAGTGCCTGAAGGGCTACTGGTACATATTTTTAGCAACATCCAAATGGTAGATATTTGAAATATTCAAATATCATAAAGCAGATAGGAGTTACCCAGGTGATAGCATCATAAATCTAGGATATATAAAATATGAATACTAAATTTAAACTCCATAAATTCCTGCCTTCTTGCCCTGCACAATTCTGATGCATCATATCCCTACTGATTGAAATATTTTCAACCAGCTGAAAGCCATTTTGTTTGCGAAGTTATAGAACAAAGGATACATTCTTTTCTTTGGCAGGAAATATTATCCAAACAGGTCTCAGGACCAGCTGGAGAATGCAAATATTGTAATTTTAAAAAGGAAAAAAAGAAAGCTGTGACATGGAAAGGAAATGTGGTAATAGCAGTGAGGGCAAAAAAAGAGGAATTTACATATCTCTGCTGTAGTGCAGTTTGACCACTGCCACATGCACTAAACAAAAAAGTACAGTTCTGTGTGTATGTCCACGTCTGTTGCTAGATCTTCTTTTAGCTAAAGAAGGAATAAGGTAATACAGATGAAAGGATACAGAGGTGTGGGTGGGTAGGTGTGTGCTTGCACATTTATCTTTCAAATTTGCAGGGAAGATAGCATGACTACTTCAAGTACAAGGTTTTTTAAAATTTTATTTCAAGAAAAGAAAATAGGATTAGACTATCTGAGCAGCTATTCGAAAAGGAAGAACAGTGCTCAGAGCACTTAGGAATAACATGATGCAAGACTTCTTGAAACATGTTCTGTGGCATACTAGTTCTAGAGATATCCAGAGTTGGAGGGGGGGTGTTCTACAATAAAGGACTTTAAAGGCATTGAGAAAGACAAGAAAAGAAACTTGACAGATTTGATTTACTCTGGTACTTTCTGAACTTGTTAGCACACAGTTTAAGGTTTTTTTTTCTAGAAACATCTAAGTATATCTCAAGAGGTAGTGCCATTTTAAAAATTGTACTGAAAGATGCTAAACTGGTTTTAGAGGTGTATGGGTGTGAAATAAAACAAACAAATATTTTTAAGGTAAGCAGACAATATGCATATCTCAAGAAAATTTTCACTAATTTCATTCTGAAATACAATTTGCTCCCTATATCATTTGGTGTTGCTGACTTCTGGATGGCTGAATGCCTAAGCTATCCATCAAAGCAAAATAGTATTCCTGTGAATTAAATCCCATATTCCTGTCACTTAAAGCACAAGCCTCCATTCAGAACTCTGTACTACATATGCAAATAGAAGTTTTTCTTTACATAATCCATGGATGCAATTATAATATCCAGGCACAAGTCTTTAGACACAACATCTTAACCCTCTCTTCAGTAGCTACCTGAGGCTGTCACTTGGTATCTGAAACTAACCTTCAGAGCCTTAAAAACATGATCAGAATTTTCCAAATGTTCTAATTACTCTCCTGCCACTACATCTCAAACTGCAAGACTGCCCTGTGATGCATGATATGTATGAGCCACTTTCCGGTATGATTTCCTGAGGGTCTCATGTGAGGAATGATTCCCTAAGAGAGGGATTCTGACCTCTATGTCTCTCCTACAGCCCTAAGCGGTGCCTCTTGGCTTTCACAGAACCTACTCTTCAAGGAGCTGGCTCCAGCAGCTATCATTGGCTCCTTTTGTCAGGGTGTCAAAGCCCTTCATTCAACTCAGCAAAGGTTAGCATTAAAAAGAGTAAAGAGGTGGGAACAGGGGATACAAATCTCGCCAGCCAGAGTGGTTACATGTTAGAAGTATTTCCTGACATGATTCCAAAAACTAAATCTGACAGCATGGACGTAGACACATGATTTGAAAAATCCATGGCTTATTTTAAAGGTGGCAGAAGTTTATATCTGGTCTCTCTAGACCAGAAATTCAAAATTTTTAAAAAGGCAAATCTCAAGTTCCATTTTGAATTGACTTACCTCAACTTCTACTTTTGTAAAGGGCTGGCAGAAAGTAAGCACACAAAGCTGGAGGCTAAAAAAAAAAAAAAAAGAGAGAGAGAGGGCTACCCTTATATGGTAATACATGTATTATCTACTATTACCCCCAGACTTCTGTACACACAGGTACCCCATATCATACTTTATTCATATATATATTTACGGTGTTTATAAATACTACACTGCAGTTATAACATGTCTTGGGCCTACACAACCATTCCTATTCACAACTATTCAAAAGTTAAATAACCAAATATAATACCATATATAATTTTGTGATTCTGAGCCACAGCTTAATAGACTGAACCCAGAATTTGCAGTTTCCTGAAAACACAGACTCATATGCCTAAATCCCTAGAAAATATACTTAAAGCTACATTATAAGGTACAGAAATATGTTTACAAGAACACACTTGAATAGAACACTACATTTCCAAAGTCGTCTGGTATTTAAAAGAAAAATCTGTGGGCCTTTCCTTAAAAGCAGAAAGTTTATCAAAATTGCCCTAGATATTAATACATGTTTTAGCTATAGGGAAATCTGAAAAGTTTCAAATTGTAACGCTAGACAAGGCTTTCTTTCTTTCTTTCTTTCTTTTTTTTCTTTTTTTTTTTTTTTTTGAGACAGGGTTTCACTATGTAGTTGAGACTGACCTGGAACTATGTAGCCCAGGCTGGTCCCAAACTCACAGCCTCCGGAGTGCTGGGATTACAGGCGTGCGCCACCATGCCCAGCTTACTAGACAAAGGCTTTCTTTAAAGTGGTTAACAAAACTTTCAGAGACAATTTTTTTTTCAGAGACAATTTTTGAAAATGATGTCCCCACTTGCAGCTTTCCCATAGGTATGTAGACCCCCTGAAAAAGATGTATGTGGGAGTTTTGATTTATACTCCTTAGATCCAGACAGCAGTAAGAGTGGATTAGATTATATGGTAAAGAAAACAACCAATCAACTTTTTCTTTATATTAATAATTTATTTATCTGTAAAAATTACCTTAAGGGACTTAGGGAAGCTGGGAGTTTAAACAAGGAATGTAGTTTTTAAAAATGAATTTAGGAAGTAAATTTACCACCTCACAACAGGGAGCATGGCACATGCCTGGAATCCCAGCAGTTGGGAGGCTAAAGCAGGAGGATTACTGTAAGTTGAGTTCAAGGCCAGTCTGGGCTACATAATGAGTTCAAGGCCAGTTTAAAACTATATAGTAAGAATCTATCTAAAGACAAAACAAAAATAAAAATTAATTAATTTAACACTTCCATATGAATTATAATATTTTGGAGGCAAGGTTTTGTTATGTTGTCTGTGTAGTCTCAAACTCACAGTCCTCCTGCCTTAGTCTCCCAGGTAACTGGAATTACATGTGTACACCCTTGCACCTGGCTTTAATTATAAATTTTCAAAGTCCATCTGAAAGGGTAAAAATCCTTTACTGTCTATAAATTCCAATCATGCTCAACCCACATTATCCATCATCAAGTACACCTTTTTTTAATTATTTAAATTGAGCTTTATTTGAACAGATACTTATTTGGTTATGAAAATTCTGAAGGCTGCAAAAGAAAAAAAAAATGAAGTCATACATAAAATGTCATTAAACCTGTCTTGTTTGCCCACAGACAAACCAGACACTTCTTCTACTGAGGGGAAACATTTTCCACAGCCATCTGTCTCTAAGCTTATTCCCTGACTTGCCTCTCTCTTAAAATACGACCGGTTTAAAATTTCTGTCTTGAATTCTGCACCTAAAGAGCAGTTGGAGGAGAGAAAATGAAATTAGAAATAGCAGATACCCATCTGGGGATTCAGCTCAGTGGTGCCACCGCCAGCCTGAAAGTGTAATGTCCTGAGTTCGATCCCTGGTACCACAAATTAACATGAGAAAAAGGAAAAATGGAAACAAAGCCTTTGTAGATAGAGAGGGAGGGGTGGAGGGGTTGGAGGGAGGGCAGGGGAATGGGGAAAAATAAGAATCAAGATGGATTATGTAAAGGTGAAAATTTCCAATGATGAATGTCATTATATTGTATACCTTAATTGTACCAATGAAATTAATTAATTAAAAAAAGAAAGAAAGAACAGATACCATGCTAATCATCACATTAGGTGGACCAGAAGACAAAGGTGGAAATGAGACTTGTCCAAGGTGAATACCACGTGGCATTTGGACAAAACAAAGCTATGCTTTTTAAATAATTTTTGTTTGTTTATAAGTCCTAAGAAGTCTCTGACTCTTAAAATATCTTTTACTTTCTTTCTTTCTTGAATGTTCTCTGATTTCCTTTTTCTTTTTATCACAGACATCTAGAAGGATAGATTAAATAAGCCACTCTATTTTCTCCCCTAAGCCACCTTCCAGAAAGTCACTTTTATTTGACCTCCACATCTGCCTGGACTGCTACATAAACAAACAAAAAGAGTTACAGTGAACTCACAGTCACTAAGTCACTATCTCCAGAGGGACCTGAATCTGTAAAGACACAAAGGATGATAGACAGCAGGAAACAGAAATAAGTACCCAAGTAGTTTTTAGGTATTTTTGTTTCTAAAAAGCTCTCATACTACTTAGTTCTCCTAATTCTTTCTCATGTGAAAAACTGTATGTCAGAAACTCAAAATAGTGGCATGATGGATATAGGCCAGTCTAATGAATAAATTGATTTCTTAAAGAGTTAAAAAAAATACAACCTACACATTTTTTACAATGAATGGGCTTTTATTTTTGGCATTTCCTTAATGTCAATTACCAAGAACTGAAGCATAGCAGGAACACAAACATGTCACATGTGTCAATATCCACTCTATTTATCTATTCTGATTTAATTATGTCAAAGCAATTTGCATACACACAAAAACAATGGAGAAATTATTCATTTTCTCTGATATCCAGGAGCTTATAGTATCTAAAGAAGCTCACAGTATGCTTGAAAGCAGATGACTTCCTTTTAAATAATTCCAATGTACTGTCACCTATCTAGCCAAAATGATATTTGAGATCTAGTGCAAGTCCTCACATCCAGGTGTTTCATATGGTTTTCATCAAAATTTAAACAAACTCAGACTTCTCTACTGGGAATTAATAGAAGAAAGTTTGCTTCTACATGTTCTGTTCCTTTTAGAGTTCTATTTCCCCTCAGCTTGTCTAATAGTGAAACCATATTCCTCTCCTCTCTTAAGGGTCTATAGAAACTTCTAATTCTTGTGCTTTGAAAATCCAAGAACGGAACCAAAATCTTGGTTAGCTATTTTCTCACTTCTATCAGACATATCACAACTATTTCAGGCCATATAACAAAATAGATCTGAACTGCATACATCAATGCTGTTCAACGTACGACTGAAGTATATAGTGAATGTTAAAAAAAAATTTTTAAAAGTCATTATAATAAACGACATCAATCCCCCTCAAGATACTTCCCCTAACTTTAAACATATTTTATACCATAACTTTTGCCACTTTCTGAAGCAATTCTGAATATCCATTCTCTTGAGTATCTTCAGTCGCACGGTTCTGGCTGTTTTACTGTCCTGAATTGATTCAAAAAAATTGATTCATCTACCTTTCATGGTCATTTTGACTCTCGAGGGACAGACATATGTTGCACAGTGCCAGATCCAATAAAAAAGGCAGAAGAGGGCACATCGTAATGTCATGAGACTGCCTTTCTGGTGGAGGGTACTTGCCAGTAGCATTCACCTTTTTTTTTTTTATTATACCTTGTAAAAACACAAAAGACTTCCAGAACAGCTTCACAAAATGGCAAGAACATACACATGTTCAGATCTCGAGGGCATATTTTGAGAGAGATTAATGCACTGTGTCTTTTACTGTAATAAAACATTTTTAAAGTAAACACATTGTATTTCTTAATCACTTCATATAAAATATGGACAGACATACTAGATAATGACAAATCTTCAATGGAAATGAAAGTTCAAAATTAAAGCCAAGTCAGATTCAAACAAATCACTGGAATATTCCTTACAAACCGCAGACAAAACCTAGAGAGCCATTTGAACATGAGATTTGAATTCGAGACAACAGGGGTTAATGGGCACAGCGATGGTCTCTCTGAAGATGCCAGTTATCAGATTTAAGAGTCTGACAAGAAACTGTAATTTTACTAAAAAAAAAGGTTTTTTGCTACAAAGGAGGAATGAATGATTTTTTCTTCATCAAAATAAAATTACATATAAACTAATAATAGACACAAGTGACTTACAATGTATATCCTTGCCATGTCCAGGTCACAGTGTCCTACAACAAGAATTCAAGCTGTTAGTCCAGATAGAAAACATCAAATGAAACAAGGATTTTATTTTAATATTGGATTCATGTATATCTTTTTTGAAATTAAAAGCCACATGTTGAAAATTAAAATAAATGCATTATTATTAAAGAATGGTGAATTGATCTATACATTTTTAGATTATGTATCTACATAGAAAATAATCACCTTTTCATTATCTCACATTTTTTTCTTTTCCCTTATTACCCTTCCCCTACGAAATAAAGTATTTGTAGATGGGGAGGGGAGGAGGGGGTGAAGGGAGGGCAGGGTTAAGGGGAAAAACTGAGAATCAAGACTTGTCATGTGCAGGTACAAGATCCCAACAATGAATGTAACTGTACTGTATCCCTAAAATGTACCAATAAACTCAATTAAAGCTGAAAAAAAAAAGAAAATAATCACCTTCCTATGTCAGTATTTATCTTTTGTTTGTTTGTTTATTTGTTTGGTACCAGGGATTGAACTCGGAACTTTGAGCTTGCGAGGCAGGCAGCGGCACCTCTGAGCTAAATCCCTGGCCCAGTATTCACCTTTTAATGAAAGTTGTTACGAATTAAAAAAAAAAAACTACTGAATATGCTCAGCTACTCTTCTACCAAATATGGAAAACTAACTTGTTTCCAAAAGATACCAGTACATAAGTTCCTTAGAAAAGGTTGCTTGGCAGATGTACAAGAGTAAAAATTTGATACATATAAATTTTTTAACCGAAGATGCTCAAGATTGAGAAAACAGCTACTGAACAGAAAGCTGAATTGAACAAGAACTCTTAATTTGGTGGGGGGGTTACTGAATACTGAACTTGGGACCTTGAGCTTGTAAGGCAGGCAGTAGAACCACTGAACTAAATCCCCAGCCCCAAGAACTCTTAATTTTAAATAACACAGATGATTAAAAATATATCCTGCTTTTTAATATGGATTCTCTAGTAAACAAAGTCATCTCAGAACCAAAACATTCCCCCAATTTCTTTTGAGAAAAAGGTGATGCAATCAATATCCAGAGATCAACAATGTGCCCACCTTGTACAAAAGAGAGTATTTTCTGAGGCAGATCTGAATTTTATATCTGATATTAGTTCTTGAAGATACTCTCTTTCTTAATTAAAGTACTTGCCAATGAGGAACACGGAAAGGAAGTACTGAGCCAGTAATTAAAGATCCAGCCTCTCCCAAATTTATCCTACTACTTCGGTCCTTCTCTGCAAATAATGACCTCTGAATCAGGAAAAGTTTCTTTGTAGTTTTAATGTCTACCACCCAGGCTAATATGATCCTAAATTTAGAACTTAATCTCACTATCTTAGTGAGAAGCTTAGAAATATCCTCCTGGAGTTTAACAATAGCAACACAGCATTTAATATTGGTATCAACAAATATGTGCCTATCATGCAAAAATTTTAAAACTGGACATGGCAAAGCAGAGCAAATCTGCTAATCTCCTCCTACCATTTATCTATTCATACCCTTATTCAAATATTAGAAGGGGTCCTAGTGAAGGTTTGTTATTTGGAATATTTGGAATTCTCTCCATGGTAAAATACTATGCTTACCAGCTTGTTTGGGTATCTGAGGAGGATTGGCTGCACTGGAACTCCTGGAATGAAGGCTCCTATAGTCACATTGAAATTTATGATACGTTTTTTATATGAATAAACATTTTACAGTAAGAAAAAATAATTATACATAGTAATTATACATAGTATAAATCTATACTATGTTTAAGAGTATATATATATATATATATATATATATATATATAATAGAAACTTCGCTAAATGTATGTTTATCAACATGACGAATTTTTTAAAATTAAGATTTCAGGAAAATGCTAAAGGCTGTACCTAAGACACTTGAATATTTATTTTAACACTTGCTGTCATTTTAGAAACACTTACTATTCGACAAGATTTTTTTTAAAAGATTGACAAAACGAAGACAAAAAAAAGAATATCTAGAATAATAGAAACTTCGCTAAATGTATGTTTATCAACATGACGAATTTTTTAAAATTAAGATTTCAGGAAAATGCTAAAGGCTGTACCTAAGACACTTGAATATTTATTTTAACACTTGCTGTCATTTTAGAAACACTTACTATTCGACAAGATTTTTTTTAAAAGATTGACAAAACGAAGACAAAAAAAAGAATATCTAGAGGAAACCAAAGCTTGAAGCAAAAACTCCCACACTAGCTAGAAGTGACTCATAACTTTGGCACTAAACAAAAACATTTTAAAATGTTACAAAGTTACGATGATGAATGCTGCATTCAGGACTGCCTTCCTAATTTTAAATAAGTGGAACTTGGAAGGCATCTGAAGATATAACTCATAACAGAATAGGTTTTCTACTTCAGAACATAGGACTCCAGGTATCTGTGAGGGTTTCTTGGAGGAAAAAAAATATGGTTTCTACACACACAAACACACACACACACACACACACAGAGACAGAGAGAGCAAAAGAAAGCAAAAATGTAATTTCTGTATAATTACAATATTTATAACTTTTCATCAGAAAAGAAATGCTTAGAATTATTTTGTGCATTGGTATCTAATCACTTGAGAAATCTTCCATAATACTTTGTTACAATACATAATTTAATTTATCTCACCTGGTTTAAAAGTAATCAAACAGGAACGATTAGTACAAGTACCTTCTGGGAAAACTAGTATCTTGGGAAAAAAGGAATAGATTTAATATGTCAGTCTAATTAATAGATTACCTCTTTATTCGCTTTCTTTTGATTTCCTAAACAGCTGCCAATGCTTAAAAAACAGAGAGGAAATAAAAGACTAACACATGATTCCAATGAAAGCTAGATAAGATTACTGTATTCAATTTTCCTCTAAAAGAAGTGTAGTATGACTAGTAAGATAATTACAAATTCGATCAAACCTTTGAATATGGAATATACTTAATTCACAAATATACTACACTTGTTTCTTAGTAATGTTTTTACTAATGATTTGAATAAATTTAAATACAATATAAATCATGGTCAAAGTATACATTAGATACACTATGTTAAAGTCTCCTGCTAACTATGTTTCCTTAACCAAATAATATGATTATGTTTCCGTTTTTCCTTAAATGATATTTGTTTCCACTATGCACAATTGAGAGACATCTTGAGGACAAAGGAAAATGCTTGCAATGTATTTTATGCTTAGTTGAATTAGCTGACATATACAATACAATTTTTCTTTCTTTTTAGGAAACATTTTAGCTTTTAAGGTACGGTGGTACCATGGTACTCATTAATTGGTTCCAGGAGACCCAACAAATATCGATCAGGAAACAACTTGTTTCGGCTGTTAAGGGAAGCAAGTCAGAGAGAGGGCAGTCGCACTGACAACTTCTGCTTTGTGAGTGGAGTAACAAATAAGCAACCCTGGTACTGGGACAAAATTCATGTCAAAATGCACTGAGTACCAAATGCAAAAAGTTTCAAAGCAGTTGAGGACCAAGCTGTAACCGCATTTCTTTGTTTTTCACATGGAAGACATGTAGCACGTCAGTTTCTTCATTAACTAAGTAAGATAGCAGCTTGGTTTTTGAACCTTTTAAAATTTAGCCATGAGTAAACTGCTAGGTAAATAAAATAAAAATAAAGTTCCCAAATTCAGCACTTAGAGCAGTTAGTAATGTATGTTTTATAGTAATTAGAGAGGGAATGGGCCAGGGTTTAGCTCAGAGGCACTGCACCTGCCTGGCAAGTGTAAGATCCTGAGTTTGATTCCTGGTACCCAAAAATACATAATAAGAGAGGGAAAACTTTATTGGGCTTAATTGCTATAATTATATAAACATTATGAATTTAATTAAACAATGGATTTCCTATGACAATAACAAATGTTTTATTCAGCAGATATTCTACAGTTACATTAACAGTGAATGTGTTTAAAGTGAGTCATATAACCTCAATGCTGGAAGGGGCATTAAAAGTCACAACGGAACTTTGTGGGGGGCAGGGATAGAACTCAGGTCCTTGTACTTACAAGGCAGGTAACGAAACCGCTGAGCCAAATCCCAGATCCCTACGAACTTTAATATTTGAATTCTTCATACAATAGTCCCTTCACTCCCTAGTGATTGCTCAGCCAATGCCCGAATAGTGTAGAAAATCCAACCATTCTGCCTGTGAAAAGAAAGTTCTTAAAATGGCAAAATGAGCTGAAATCTATTTATTTATTATCTTCCACCTATTAATTTTACATAAACAGTATTTTTAGATCTACAAACCCTTTGTCCAAATGCAAATTCTCCTCAATCAGTTTTTAAATCATTCCTCATGCCTCAGTTTCTAAAAGCTCCTGGTTGGTCATATTCTTTTCGGTTCTTTAAAATCTCCATGTTACCATGAGTGGCCAGATCACTGCAGGACCACCACTCTGCTAGAGTCACTTGTTTTAATCTGGGCAAAGATAGAAGGATACTTATTACAATCACACTCCCCCGACCTGTTATGTAATAAACAATAACCTCCTTTATCCTCAAAAGGCATTCCAGGGAGGAGGCGGTATGATATAAAAGTTTGACAGAAGTTTTACAGAAGATTTTGATATTCCTGTGGAACTGAAAAGTGCTATCTAAATACACTTCAGAAAAGATTCAAGATCTTAATTACTTTTTCAGTAAACCCAACATATTGTTGTAATTAGCTAAATTTAATGTCTCATATCAAATATTATTATATATTCGTATTGTTCAATGGTAATTAAAATCAGAGAGGATCACTTTTATGCAGCAAAGTGAAGTTCAAAGAATCTGCTGAACAAAAAAGACTGATACATTTAAGTCCATAAGGTATCTTATAGGGAAGAAGACTCCTTAATACTCACTAGTTCATTTACTCAGCATCCATTAAACTAAAGATACCTAGTACAGGTGTTCACAGACATTGTTATCTATGGATCTAAATAAGTCTGTGGGTATACAATAAACTCTCAATATATTTAAATAATCATCTTCCGAGTTTTACCTGAGGCCATTCTCCTCCTGATGTTGCTCGTTTTATTATTTCATTTATTGTATTTTTTCGGGAATCTGGATCTACACGGGACACTAACACTGGTTGCACAGCCCGTAACAGTCCTTTAAAACAAATAAAAATCATAACAAGTCATTTTTTGACTAAAGCCACCATGGCAATAATACTGACTAAACCATAAAACAAATGTTGTGGAAAATTAAAATGACAGCAAAGTAAAGAGAAGAATTAACAAACACTCCAAAGATTACTAAAGAATAGCAAAAGGAGAGGTGGACATTTATATTCAAAAAGTATTTCATTGAAGTAAGCAGTAAGAATATGAAAGAAGCAAATGCCAAATTTCTCTGTAATATCTTCTTCCTCAATTTACATTGAACATTACGAGATTATCTTGTTTAAGTTTTAGGGTTATCCTAAGAAATGGTTTTGTGAATTCACAGTGTACATAAGTAAGATCCAACTATCTCATCTTACTAGAAATTATAGCACAACAATCTTCTACATAACTTCCTAGAACATACAAAATAAACTTCAATTAGATCTGTTACTATACAATATTTCAGGAAAAAGCCACACTACAGGATGCACAGCAGATAAAATGTCTCTAGGCTGAATGAGAAAGTTGCAAGAACTACTAGTACTAGTATTTCCACAGTTCACCAAGGCAACATCAGGCAGCATTCAGCAGCTTTCACACCCTTTTCTCCTCACTCTGTGTTTGCAGTAACCCTGGGGCATCTGGGAGCAGTTACTTGGAGACAAGTTCCTTAGGGAGAAACCAAAGCATCTGGTGGGAAAAACACTTCACTTGCTCCATTATTTTTTATAGCAGGAAGCACTTATTGTTCCACATCATAATTGTCAGAGTTACACATGGGTCCCTTGTGGAGACTGAGAGGACAATAATGAAGAAAACAGGAAAAAACACTTAGTACATTTATCAGCCAAATACCCCCAAGAGCAATTCATGAAGTAGCATGTAATCTGGGCTTTTCACAGAGGCTTTGGTTAAATTCTTTCTCCAAAAAAGAAAAGAAGGGAGAAGAAAAAAATCGAACATGTTTAGTATTTGAAAACTGGTCTTTCTGGATGTACACAGGAAAAGAAAGATAAGATAGTATAGTGGTAAGGATAAGTTTTGAAAAAGGATGATGAAGCCACAGATACAACAAGTCTAATCTTTCTTCATAAATTAATTCTTTCCATGCAGTACCTCATTACAAATTTTGAAATGTTTTGTTTTTAAAAGTTCATTTAAAAAACTGTATATGTTTAATTTAAAGTCTGCATATACTTTATCTGTTACTTTACAGGTACTTACTGCCAATCAGAGGGACCTGTGCATTTTCATTTCGAGACAGCAGAGAAGGTAACCCAGCTACAACACAGGCGATTCCATCAAAGAATGTTGAATGAGGAGCAACGACAAAAATTGGTGCTTCCAAAGGACTTGCAATGTTTCCTTTCCTAGTAACTATAAATCCCATTGAAAAGAACATGGCACGACCGAGAAATATCAAAGCTGGCTGAGTAATTTTCCTTTGAAGATAAGTACAGAAAAGACATAATTAGATTTACTAATTGAAGTTGGCAGCAGGGCTTAATTTCTTTTCACTTCTAAACTGCAATAAGAAAACCAAAACATGCCAAAGAATTTCATTTTAAAATAGGAGCTAAGAAGGATAGCTAGCACATGGAGATGTCTCTGCTAGGTGCAAGCACTATTCAAATGCTTTATATATATTAATTTTTTGATCCTTATCCTAATCTATGACACATGCATTATTTATTATTATTATCTTCATTTTACAGATGAGAAAGTTGAGGCACAAAGAAATAATTTGCCCAAAAATATGTGGCTCCATTTTTCTGTGATCACAAAGTGGTAACAGTGAATAATCTTCAAAACACATCCGCCACTTAGACATCCAAATCAGCAACACCCTTCGAAGTAGTCATTTTGGAAATCTACATTTGTATAATGACAAGTCCCTACTTTGTCAAACACTTTTAGAATCCTCACATGGAATACTCTAGGAATAATTTGTAGGAGGAAATGTTATCTATATTGCTATAGCTTTTAGGCATCATCAAGACTCTTCAGAAGTAAATTTGCCATCTTCCACGGGACAGAGAAGCACTGAAACAATTCTAGAAATCCAGTCGCTTGGCTTTTAAAAAGGGATTTTAAAGCATTCTACTATTGAAGATTAATTATTGCATCAAACTGTGCCAAGAACTGTGCTGAACACGCAAGAGAAGTATGATCCACTCTCTGAAATGATAACCTCTATCACGTAGGGCAACAAAACATACTCTAGAAGTACAAACATCAGACAGATATCTCAGTGTATGAATAATCATAGTTGTTCATGAAAAGTAAAGTAAAATATGCAGTTATCCCTTGGTATCTGTGGAAAATTAGTCCCAGGAACCCTAATAACAAATAACAAAATTCCAATAACCCAGATAATGAAACCCTGTGTTGCTCAAGTTCTTTATAGAAAGAAATGTAGTGTTGGCATATAACCTGTGCATATCTTCCTAGAGTGTTTAAATCATCTATAGGTTACTTACTCAGAAAATAGCTAATATAATGTAAGTGCTATATAAACAGGTGTTAGACTATATTATTTAGGAAATAATAAAAGGAAAACATCTATACATGTTTTTTATGGTTTAGATTCAAAGTGTCATGTTCAAAGTTGGGGCTTTTGGAAGGTGACTAGATCATGACACCACTATATGTTTAGTTCGGTAGGTGAATGTGCTGTCGGGGTGGAACACTAGGGGTGTGAGTGACCTGGGAGAATGAATTCTTGTCCCAGGCTCCTCTCCTCTCTCTCTTTTTCCCAGCTGCCATGGGTTAGCAGCTTCTCTCTGCCAGGCCCTTCAGCCGTGCTACTTCTGCCTTGTTATAAGCAAGCCATGGACTGAACCTACTGAAATTCTGACCCCAAATAAACCTCCCTTCCTTTAAGTTACAGATGTTGAGTATTTTGTTCTAACAATGGGAAAGCTGACTAATGTAATGTTCATTACAAATGTAAATTTTTTGAAATACCTGATTCACAGTTGGTTGAATCTACAAATGCGCAACCCCGAGAAATGGTGGACTAACTGCATAGCACCCATAAGGCATCTAATAAGAGCTTAAAAATTAGACTTCTTATTTCACTGTCTCAGCATTCTTGCATCATAGAGGGAGGAGCTATTAGCAAACTGGTCTCTGAGGAAGTTTCTGTCACTTTTATTTCAGGGCAAGGAGAAGTGAGACACAGAAAACCCAAGTGCATTTTAAGAGGGCACAGAAAAATGACTGTACCTCTCCTTCTTCCCCTTTAGTTTAGAGATGAGATATCTCTTTATAAATAGATAAAATCACACATCCCTCACTGAACTTCAACTTCATTTCAAAATAGTCCATTTTCAGATCCAGTAAGACTTTCTATTTAAAATTTTTTTTAAAGCTTAAAAGTCTGGTGCCGCACAACTTCAACATTACCTATTTGAAAGGCGACAGGTATTGGTTTAATTGTAAAAAGTAAAATTTAAATAACATTTATTGCATTTATTTTATATATATAATCTCTCT